AGTAATGTCTGGATACAACAACAGGTGCCTGATAAGAGAGGAGGAAGGCCAGACCTTTCATCTGTGCCGCAGAAGCGGATGGCTGCGAGAGCTTCATTTGGAACAGAGATAACGATTCTTAGTCACCCCCAGGGCAGTTTACAGAGTTTATGAGGTGATTTCATAACGAAAGGGGATGCATTGCCCTGTGTTGGGGAGCCTGGCTGTGGGGGAGAGGCCCCTGCTCTGTTCCAGGGCATTTCAAGGCAGCAAGATAAACCACAGGAACACTTCCATGATGTGTTGCTGTGCAGATGAGCCCAGCACTTCTCTCTACCCAACACATACAGATAATGTGACATCCATCCTTTCTGGGTTACAATGGTGGGCTTACTTCCTGCAGAGGCCGGGGGAATCCAGAAGGAAGCTCGTGAGAAGTGGCATCTCCTGGGGGAACAAAAGGCTCAATCATTTCCCATCCTCCCAGATTCCTCCAATCTTCAGCTCACACACAGCCCTGTGAGACCTGCACTCAGCCCAATATCTCCACAGCTAAACAGGCACTTCTGTTTTCTGTTTGGCATCTCTTTTGTAGCACCTGAGTTCTGTTTGGCATCTCAGCACAGACCCAGTTCAGGTTGCAACCAAGAGCCCACAATACCATTGCCAACAGCAGCCACCGTTTTCCCAACATTTTTGTCATTCCACACCAACCCCCTCTTATTTATCTCCAGACCAGCACAGTAACTGCTGGTAGCAATGTACAAGGGGAGGGGAATTCCTATAGCAACATCCAAACTACTTATCTGACTTATGTATGACAAATATTTGGCACAATACATCAGTACATTATCAGTAGGATAATCTTTCCTACTCTCCCTATGGCTAGAGGCATCACAAGCATCTAACACATCAGGAATATGTGCTGCTGCCCCAGAAGGATTTTGCAGCAATGCATTTCCATGTAAGGTGCATATTGTGTCAGTGGATTAAGAGATAAACATTCAGTTTTCCAGGTTTTGTCAAGTATTTCTGAGAGTTAGGTGATAAAAAAACTGAAATTCTCTTTTTTCATTACTAATAGGAAATTTTAATCTACAGTTTCCAACACTAAAATTTACACAGAAATTATTAACAAATAACAAGAAGGAAAAAGTTCTTCTCCTTGTATCACCAACAGAGGGTAAAACCATCCATATGGGCACCCTTTGGTTCCAAGGTTACAAACCACTTTTCCATAATAACTTGTACACAGTGCCAGCAAATTAGAAAATTCCATATGCAGTATCAGTTGAGACAGGGAATTAGCTACTTCCTCACGCAGGAGTGCTGCTTCCACGCCGACTTACCGTAAGCCTCCCAACACCAGCCAGAAAGGATTTGGAGGAACACGAAAACCTCAGCAGATAAAGTCTACACATCTGCTCCTGATCCAGCTTAAAGACAGTAAAATGCCAAGTGGCCAAAGATTTAAGACAGAACATGGCTACACATTCAGAACGCCTCCAAAGCCAGAGTTACGCGTTCCCCGGGGGGTTGCACTTTCACTTTCCTAAATTGCCTGCATATTTGCTTTTTTCTGATGGCAGATTAGGAACCCTGCATTTCCTTAAACCGCCAGCTTTGGGCCAAGACACACACGCCCTGCCTGGAGCTCTGCCAGCCCACACTCGCACAGCCAGATCTGGAGAACCACGTTCCAACGTGAGCTGCTCCGAAGGGAGCCCAGGAGCTGGCTGCCGGTGGCTGCCAGGCACTCACACAGACCCAGCTCTCCCAGGCCACTCGGGCTTTTCCATGGATATACAAGAACAAAATTAAAGAACTTCAGAGGGGGCAAGGCAAGTGTGGCAGTGCCACAATTCATCCCAGGGAAGAAATCATGTTAAAAAAATCTACAGCCATTTCAGGGTTTAAATGTGCATGAAATGAGTGAGCAATTCATTTCCTGCATGAGAAAGGAGTGTAGAGTTTGGTATCATGAGCACTGCCAACATGTATAAGCATATTACATGTCCCAGGATAAGTCTTATTCCTCTTACAGCCTCAGCTTCCAGAATCCCACAATGATAACACAGTGCTCCTCCCTGGCACTCTATCAGCCCCAGAACCCTTGTTACAAGGACAGTCTCCTCCCTACAGGCACAGAAGAACTGGGGAGATTTGGGAAGCAGAGCAGAGCACCAGGTGTGCAGCAGAGGTGGGGAGACATCAGCCCTCCCAGCACTGCAGTTCAGGCATTTCCAGATCCTCCTGTTTGCAGAGGGAAGTCAGAGGAGCCAGGAGGCTCCAGAGTGCAGATTATCCACCACCCTCACGCCGGGCTTCTGCTTCAGTGACCCACAGCTCAGCTTCAGAATCTTGACCCAGACCCAAGTCCGCTGGTACAAACAGGAATTGGAGGAATCCACATGCAATTCCAAAGCCTGAGCGTATCAACCAGAGTAAGATCTAGCAAGAAAAACCTCTGTCCATAGGGCACAGTTAATCAAATATTTTAAATGTATGTTAAGGATAGAGGGAGAGGGAAGAGGTGAATTAACTCCAAGAATTACAATCTCACAATTCCATGCTTAAAAAGGTTCCATCAAGCTGCAGTGATACCAGCAATATTCCAAGTTTTCTCTCCCTAGAACCATACAGCCAGACCCCATTTCCTCCTCACCCCTCCACACACGAATAATAATTTTGATTTCCTTTTTTCAGTTTTATTGCTGGGGTTTTCTGTCAGGAGGGCAGGGTCTGGCTGGGCTGTGCCTGGAGCTGCTGTGTAATTACAGCGTCAGCCTTCCCTGCTACCACGGAGCCGTTTGCCGTCGCCACGCAGGCGGCCGGGTCTCGTGGGGAGATGCTCAGTGTACTGCAACAAAGGACTTCCCCCCGTGTATTGTGCATCTGGCCCTGGAATACAGAACTCAGCATTCAGAGATAAAAGCCTTTGGTTCAGAGATGCTTGACTCTCCCACTGCTGCAATGTTACTGCACGCTGGCAGCACTCAAATCAAGGTGCAGAATTTATCCTGTGCCAGTGGTGTAAAATGATGGGATGAGATATTTTTTTATTTTTTTTTTTTTTTTGTGCTTAGGAATTCGATTCTCTCATCTTTGAGCTGGTTTCCAGCACTAAATATAGCAAGATGCTATTTTTTAATTTTTTTTCTCTGTATAAGCTTTTTTTTAAATTGTATTTTCTTCCATTATCTATTTATTTGCCAGTTTCCAAAATCACAGACATCGAATTTCTATGCCTGGCTGTCCTTCCAGCAAAGAACATAACCAGTAACAAAGCAACATTTTTACCAACCACATTCTATTTTATTTTCTACCCATCTAGTGGATTTGAAGGCTAGTAACATTTTATGTACCCCTCTGGAAAAGCTGTTCTTTAGAGAGTCTCCATCTTCTGTCCTTTCCTTGTTAAATTGTATTTGCCCATGACCCATAACACGGCTTCCACTTGGAAATATCTCTGCCCTCAGAGACAAATGCACATGTAACGAAATGATCAGCCCTAAAGCACACACTCTTAGAGGGAGAAATCTTTCTTGGAGAAAGAAATCTTCCTTGTTTCGTACCTGCAGTAAGATACATTGTTCACATTAGAACGAAAAAAATAAAAGGTATTTTTTCAGCGTTGTGCAAGGTTTCAAATATACATGCCATAAATATGGCAGGAAATGAGCAGGGTCTCGGTTTGTACTCTGCAGATGACTCTTCAAATATATTAAAAATGCATCATTAATGCATTTTCAGCGTAAAGCAACCTGTCTCTGAGGATCCTGAGGGACTGCACGCCCCGAGGCCCCACCTGCAGCTGCTTCCGCGCCAGCTGGGAACTGAGATCTCCTTTTGCTGAACGGAACTGGAGCACGTAAAGACATTTCGGAGCTCTCGGCACACGCCTCGGGCAGGGTTTTCAGGGGAGCTCAACATGGAGCAGCAGAATAGCAGTGGTTTGCTAAGGATCATTAGAAAATCTGGCCCCGAGGACCTGCCTCCCACAGCCTGCGGAGCGCTGGGGTGAGGTCCGACAGGATGTACAAAAAGCTGAACATTGGGCAAAATTGCAAAGCTGAGAACGGCACATAAATGGCCTCACGTCCATGAAACAGATTCTCCCTCTCGATGCTTTTGCGTAACCTACACAGCTCTAAGCCCCCTCCTCTCCTTCTCAAGAGATAAGAGCCATAAAATAAACCTACAGGTTGCACACACAACGCGCAGCTGGGGTTTGTGCTTGCATTTTCATCTAGGTATTGCCACAAGCCGCAAGGCACAGGGGATGGACCGGGGTGTGTGACGATGCTGCAGTGAAAGGAACGAACAGGGAAACGAAGCCGAACGCTAAGGGAGAATCATTCTCATCTCCTCATTCACGGTCGCACACCCTTAAATCGGGGATCGCCAGATCCTCCAGCCCAACGCGTCCCTGTCCCCCGCGGCCGCACAAGCGCGGGACACCCCCGGCTCCCGCCGGGAAGCGCTGCCCGAGCTGCCGCCCCTCGCCCCGCTGCCGGCGGGGTATGGGCCGGCCGGGGGGGCGGCTTGAGGAGGCTTGGGGGTGCCCGAGGGGCCGGGGGCACCCTCACGGCTGTTCCCGGGAAAGGGCCAGAGGTGGGGGGGGTGGTGTCGGCGGTAGCCCCCGGCGGCAGGGAGCGCGGTGCCCCCACCCCCGCCCGTTACCTCCAGCCCGGCGGGGGCGCGGTGCATGCGCAGCTGCCGCTGCCCTTCATTCATTAAAAAAAAAAAAAAAAAAAAAAAAGGGGGGGGAGGAAAAAAAGAAAGCAAAGAAAAAAAAAAAAAACCACAAAACCTCGGGAGCCGCATCCGCGCTCCCCTCCAGCCCCCATTCATTTAAAAGGCAGCGGAGCATGCGCGGTGCCGCCGCGGTGCCCACCCATTTCATAGAGTCGGGCGGCCGTGCGCGTGCGCAGGAGCGGCCGCTGCCCTCCATTCATAAAAACTAGCCATTTTTCCCAGGCAGGCGGCGGGTTGCAGCGCCGCCGGCCGCCGCTGACAGCGCCGCGGCTCGCAGGTCCCTGCCGCCTCCTGCCAGGATTCTCCCGGGTCCGGCCCCCCTTCGCCCGCCTCGCATTTGGGATTAACTCGCCTATGGAGAGATGGTCTTAGCTGAATTATTTAAAGTAAGTACGAGATCGGCGCTTGCGAGCGATTGTTAAAATGTTTTAAGTAGAAAAAGCCAAGCCGGCTCCCCGAGGGAAAATCCTGCGCTCGTTCTAGATGTGTTTGGCTGCTCCTTACAGATACTGATCATGAGCATGTTTCTGGTTATGACTTTTCTAACAGTGATTATCTATAATCATGTACAGTGGAGAGCTGCCTGGTGCTTCCCAACCTAAAGGAGACTTGGCATTCTGGAGAAATATCCTCTTTCTTGCAGAATTTCCATTTGTGTTCCTGTGTCTCTGATTTATACCTCTTTTCTGCGTTCTCCCATCAACATCTGCATTTGCTGTACATATATGGCAGGCAGGTTTCACCACACTTGTGTCGGGTTTGTTTGCAGGGTTTTACAGCAGAATAAGGGTCTTTTTTCTGCTGATGGCGTGTCCTTCATCCCTTCTTCCTTCCCCAAAAAGGAGCATAAATACATGATCACCTGGCCTGACAGGTCAGAATTGGATATTTCTTGCTATGGAATATGAAAATGGATTATATGCATTTCCTCTCTTTTCCAAAGCCCTGTCTTGTTAGTGTCAAGTAGTTCTGAGCTGTCTCCATAATAGGACACTTCAGAGATCAGCCACTCGTGTGTCAGTCCTTTCCTGCATGACCTTTGCTCTTCAGCATTTTATTTCATACAAGTCTTTTTTCCTTTTTTTGGCCTCAGTGCCTTATTCCATCACTGTTGTCTCCCCTGCCTTGCTGTACACTTGTTTAAAATCTGGATGGGTGATGTATTTTAGAGGCTAGGTGAGTAATAAAAATGTGTACCTGGAATAATTTCATATAATATATGAAACATACTATATGTGGAGGAAAAACCTGTCCTGGCTGCTCTTCTCTACCAACTGCGTAGCAAAGATAAGACAGGATTTTATTTTCTGGTACCAGTCCTGGCGTCACAGGAGAAAGACAAGCCTAGAGACGACATGTTCTGAAAATTCATTATCAGGAGGGGAATGGAAAAAACAGAAAGGGGCATATAAAAGGCACTAAGGTCTTAGAGGAAAGCGGGACTGGGAATGCAGACCTTGGAAATGGAAGTGCAAATGAATATCAGTGTTAATCACGGGGAGAAAGGTTTCACTCTTTTTCTTCGAGTGACCAAGGGTCTGATTTCATGATTTAAATCTTTTATAGCCCAAAGTTTTTCCTTAAAGGGTGAAGGAGAGAAAGGAAGAGAAAAGGAAAAGCATCCCTGCATTATCCAGAGTGGAAAAGGCATGTTCTAGATTGTTTAAAACTTCTCCAGCTGCTGCCTTTCTTCCATACCATGCCAAGGGGAGAGTATGGCAAGAATCAGCTCAGAAATTGCTTTTTAATTGGGTAAAGAGAACCTCAGCTTTCCCAATATTAAAGCTTCCCCTCTCTCCCTTTATTTTGGGTTAAAGAATAAAGCTACAATTTGTGCACGGAATCACAATGATCCTGAGGACTGGCTTCCCCCTTCTCCATATAAAAATGAATGATAGCAGGAGGAGGGGTTGTTCTCAGTTATTGGAACCCCACTGGGGATGTCTCGTTGATAAATGTGCCGTTTTCCATGGGCTACTGTGTTTTCTGTTGCTGGAAGGGACTCTGTATTGGGATTATAAAATTAAAAGGACCATTTCTGAATACTGCAGTCCTTTTGAAATTCTCCATGAGGTATGTGCAGGGGAGAAATTATTTGCTCTCCTCCCGAAACAGCAAAACAAAAGCTGTTTTCCTGGAATCATGACTAATTCCCAAATCACACTGGGAAATGCAACAACTCAAAGAGCAATTCCCATCCCCTCCCCCCCCGGCCAAAAAAAAAAAATTCTGGTGAAATCAAATGCACATCCCTTGCAACACTACAGTAATAATTAATTTGCAGTTCTGACAGTTTTGGGGAAAAAAAAACACTAACCGTAAAAGCAAAAAAACTCATTAATCATATTGCCATACAACTTTTCAAATTCAGCCCAGTACTAAAAACTACCTTTTTATAGGCAAACAGTTGCACAAATGTTTGGGTTTTATCCCTTTTAAATGCAATACAACATATTTCCTTAAGGAAATACAAAATCCAACTAATGTGGTTATCATTTAGTACTATTAGCTTAATGCATCATATCTGAACTTAATTTTCTGACCTTAGAAGAAATGTTCTTATCCAATAAAAAGCTTTGACTAAGAAACTTGAGTGCCCAGAGATCTGAACGTCAGTGGGCCAAAATGTGCTTTATTCACTCGCACCATAGGAACAGATTTCAGCTGGACAGAGACAGCTTCTTGGAAGTCTACAGGTCTCATTTCCCAGCTTCTGAATTTCCATGCTCTGGCAAGAATTTAGTGTCTCGTTTTAAAAATGGCAGGTTTCCCTAATAAGCTTTCTAATTTTTTTTTTTTTCCCCTTATTACTTGTAGAGAAAATTCTAGCTGGCCCTAGCTAGATAAGGCTGCTAAGGAGGGGAACAAAAAGAATGCATGTCAATATTTTGTTAATATTAATACACACTTTACAGGAAAAAAAGCTTTTTTTTTTCCATTTTTTTAAAGCTTTTACAGTTCAACTCAAAATCCAGACAGCCTAACTCAGTCTTAATGAACTCCAACCTTATGAATTATTCTTAATCCCACATTAAAAACATGTGCTTGCTGCAAGGTCTCCTTTAACTCCAAGTGTTGTCTCCCTCAATAAAAGCTTTTATTGAAGCCTTTGACTTGCATCAGGAGCAGAGTGTCCCTTGTCACAAGAGGATGTCCCTAATTCCAAACAAAGGCAATCATAGAATTTGCTCCCTTATCACCAGCTCTTCCTCTGCTGGGCCTCAGGAAACGAATCCATTATTGATCACTTGGGTGGGAGTGAGCCCTGTCCCTCAGCTCACTGTCCCTCACCATCCTGCCCAGTCCACGCCCTGCCCCAGCTCCAGCCCCAGCTCCAGCCCCAGCCGCCCTACTTGGTGCATCCACTCTCCAAAGCCCTGTGGATCTTCCCCTTGCTGGTAATTTTTGACAGCAAGGATTGCCCTGATACCAGACACCCTGGCTTCATTTCCAGTGCCCATCCTGGCTATTCCCTCATTTCCAAACAGCTGTAAGGAGGAGCTGTGGACCACTGCTGGGTCCTGGCCTCCAAGCACTGTGCAGAGCCAGCAAAGGGGTTTGTGCACTTCCCAAAGCTCAGGTGCAGCTGTGACCAAGGTTCTAGAGAAGATTTTCAACCAAATCACTGGAGGAGAGAGACTAGTCGTGATCATTCTGGTTTTGCACTGGTTACCATCAATTCTAAACTGTCTTGGCTTGCACAGACCTTGAAATATATATGCCTGCCCTTGGAATTATACTTATTCAAAGTATATTGTTTTCAATTATGCTAATTTCTTCCATTAAGACTAGATATTCTATTGCTTTTCTTGTTTTCTTCCTGTGGCACTATTGTTTCAGAAATTTGTGTGTCCCATACAGAGAGAAAATAGATGGATTTCTGCAGTACATTTACTGCAGCTATTGCTGCCTGTATGTTAATGAGGTGACTGTAATGCCTCTTCCAGAGACTGTAATCCAGCTTTTTCATTGATAAAAGGATCATAGAATGGTTTGTGTTGGGAGGGACCTCAAAGCTCATCAAGTTCCACCCCCCTGCCCAAGGTAGGGACACTTTCCACTAGACCAGGTTGCTCCAAGCCCATCCAACCTGACCTTGAACACTTCCAGGGATAAGGCAGCTACAGCTGCCCTGGACAACCTGTGCCTCAGCCCCCTCACAAGGAAGAATTTCTTCCTGATATCTGATCTAATACAGGTCTAGTATCATAGTAACCAAGAGGAGGTGTGATATCTGGCTGTTAGGTACCAAGACTCAGAGCTCTGTGGTCTGACCCACCATCACTGACCCACAGCAGATCCCTAAATGAGCAGCTGATGTCTTACCACCATCCCAGTGCAGGGCTCCATCGGGCAGGGCTCAGCCTTCTATCAGTCCACGGTAACTTTTCTGTCCCTTCTTCACAAAAGCTTGTGATTCTTCAATAGCTGGAAAATTCTTGGAAACCTGTAATTGGAAATTCTTATTGAAAACTCAGTTTTGCTTTACTCTGCTTATGGTATGTTGGACTTGAGGATCTTAAAGGTCTTTTCCAACCCTAAGGATTCTATGTTAAGAAGGTGGCTCGTTGCACACCACTACTCTCCATCTCCCTAGCACTGTTATAAACAATATAATTTATAATATATATATAAACTGGCCACCACTGCCCTGGCAAAGGGCAGCATGGCAAACCAGCAGGTTCAGCAGCTCCCTGATGTTACAGGGCACAGGTCCAGGCTCAAGAAAGGAGCCAGCAGTGATGTTACAGGACATGGAGAGGACAATCCAGCACCAGCAACCCCAGGAGAAATCTTGGTTTGCTGAGGCAAACACCTCTTCCCTGCCACTGGTGCTGTTCAGACACAGCAGAAAGGATGGGTTGCTTACGAGGTGTAATTAAGGTGTAATTAATTAGAAAGAGATAAAGTGGCCCCTGATCTGGTGCTCACAGATTACTAGGGACAGAAGGGGTTTTTGGTGGCTGCATCACTTCCCTGACCGTACTGGTGGTCTCTCTCTCAGCAAACACGCACCAAGCAGCACATTTGGGGCTTCTGGGTTTTTTTTTCTATGACATTTAAGGTTCACTTTAGACATTTTTATGTCAGCAACCCGCATTGAAATTCTCCACATCTTTAACAAAAGTGGGTTGGGTAAAACTGTGGTGCATTGTGCCTGGTGCTAGGTGGAGAGGAGGTGGTTGTGGAAGCACATTTTCCCATTTTCCTGTTGACTTCACTGTGGGCACTGAGGAGGTATCAGTCACAGCAGCCAGGTTGTCCAGGATTGCTTCCACATGGGACCCACCTCTGGACTCGAGTCCATTATTCTCATGATTCTTTCGTTACCACAAACATCTGGAATGTTGTTAAACACGTGAGAAAGAACTTAATGAAATTAACT